GATAGATAGATAGATAGATAGATAGATAGATAGATAGATAGATAGATAGATAGATAGGGAGAGACTGAGACATATCTTCTAATTCTTTCAGAAGACACCAAGCATTCAAACATATGAGTCTTTGGGGGGTTATTCTCATTCAAACCATCACAGTAGGCATTCAGTGTTAATTCACCAAACATTCCCAAAGGCCTCTTCCTCGCCAGATACTGTGCTGAGCTCTCACATTAAGATGCAGAATAGTCACAGCCCCTGTGAGAGTCAGGTCTCTACAAACCAATTGTGATAAAGTAGAAAAAACATCCAAGGAAGAAAGTCAAAGCAAGAGGACATTGTCCTGGTTCACTTTCTTCTGTTGCTGCTGGCTCCCTTCAGTAAGGACAGGGCAAGCTAGGAGCTTTCTACTAGAATCCTTTCTCCTTCTTTTCCCATTCTCTCTGTCTGTCTGTCTGTCTGTCTGTCTGTCTCTCTCTCTCTCATGCAAGAGTGCACGCACACATGTGCATATGTGTGTGTGTGTGTGTGTGTAAGGGGGGTGCATTGTACATATGTGCTATTGTGTGTTCAGACCAGAGGTATCTGGTACCATCAAGTATCTTCCTCAATCACTTACTTATTTTACTGAAATAGGTTCTCTTATGTCATGGCTAGATTGGATGGACAGCAAAGGCACGAGCATCCTCTTGCCTTTGCCTCCCAGAACTGCGATTACAGACATGTGGTACAGCTCTAAGATTTTTTTTTTCTGTATGGTTCTAGTATTGTGTGGCGAGCACTTTGCTCCTTGAGCCATCTCTTTAGCCTTCTATTTCTGCCCAACTTCCCCTGTTATCCAAAGGCTCCCAAGAGCACACACTGGTCTCGCTGAGGGAACACAGTGTCAAATGAGTTGGCAACCTCTGTTGTCTCTATTCTAGGGAAACAAAATTTCCCAGTAGAACTGTGTTACCACCACTCCTTAGTCCTCTGTGCGAGGAGGGTTCATTGTGTTGGCTTTTTTTTTTCTTGTGAATAAATGCTTCCTAAGAAACAAAAAGTCTGTTCAATCCCTAAGCTCTGAACACATTAGATAGAAACAAGCCAAATCCAGAGAAAAGAGAGT